GACTGAAGAGTGAGTACTTTGTTACATCTATCTCTAACTTGTAGTTACTTACTTGACCTTTGTAGTCTTGCTTCGACTCTAGGTACAGTTCGTTGCTGCAATATAGTCTTTCCTTACTGACTGAAGATCTTGCTTCGACTCTAGTCGGATCTAATCTTTGTCTTCACAGCCCCGAGTTTATCACCCCTCAACATAGTCCTCTAGCTCATCCTCTGACACTTCCCCATCCGATGCCTCCCCATCTGCCTCATGTCCACTCGATGACCCTGAGTCTGAATCCAATCCCAACCTTTCCTCTGCCCAAGCCTCCAACTCATTAGTGTCCATGCTTGAAGCACCGGATCCCTCAGATGTCCGCTGATTGAGTGATGCCATGCCTGCCGAGGACGGGCTTGTGATAGAACGCGTGCAATCAGTATGGTAGGATCGTCAATCATCTCCGAGGATTTGAGACCAAGCATCAGAGGACTGCGAGCCCAGAGAGTCGCCGGAGGAATCTGAAGCTGAGGGTGGCAAGGAGAGAGAAGATAGCAATGACAAGCTAGACAGGGTCACACTGGAGTGACGACGGAGGCAACCGGTTGGAAGTAGTGTAGCACGACGGCGTGCAGCAGCCTTTTGGCGAAGCTGCGCTTTGTAACGAGCTAGACGAATGTAAGCCCTGAGAGATTTCTCTGCGAGAGCACGACGGACAGTACGGCGAGGCATCGGGAAGATGGTTAGGAAGGTAGGTAAGGCGCTCATGTGTTTGGAACTAGAATATTACATAATCGAACAGCCTGAAACTTGCTGCGCCCATCGAATGCCTTAACACCTGCGGAATCGTAGTCAGAATCGCGCGCAGAATCACTGTGCATGAAGGGGTAGGTCAAACCTGACTCCGATTCTGGGACGTTTCGCCAGGCCGCTTCTGACCAGAATCGAACCAGAATCGGGGCTGAATCGTAGGCTGAATCGCCCACTCTGACCTCCCCTAATGGCTACTAATCCGCTCTTCGCTGTCTCTAATGGCGGGCAGCAAATGTGAGCGAACAACGACTTGACTCACCAAGTTTCAAGATACTTCCTTGTTATGAAGGTCCATGTATGTTCAAATGTGGCCAATTTGGGAGGCTGCAGGTGTCGTCCGCTCGTGTACACTCCGGCGGATGCATGGCTACCTCTTCGAGCGCCGGTACTTAGTTGAATGCGGAAGGAGATTCATTTAGACGCCCCTCATGCTTGGACGCGCAAGCTCGACGGGTATTTAAACTCATGTCCTCTTTCCCAGCCGCCACGTCACGGTAGCTCGCTCTTTCACCTCCATCTCTGCTCTACTCCTCTACTCCCGCTATAGTCTGACACGTCTTTAGTAACGCACACTGACTTATCGGGCAGGTTGCACGGTGCACCGTGTTCGTATGTTCATCATCTGGAAGGAGCGGCAAGGCCAGGGATCCAGTGCAGGTAGGTGGACGAAGATCAAGGAGCACACACTCCACAAAGCTTCAGGTGTGCTCATTCCGTTCTATCTCTCCCTGCCTGCCCTGATGACTTGTGGTGAACTCCATGTCACGGGCGCTGCATGAAGTGGATGCTCTCCTTGCATATGGGTAAGTTCGTCTATCCTCTAATGTCATGTACCCTTCCTGCTCGTGTAATCATCATGTCCTCAGGTAAGTACATGCAGTAGCACTAGACTGACATCACAATACCTGTTCGAAACCACCATTCCTTGGCCGCTCCTTCTCCCTGCCCCCTCTTTGTATGTAAATCGTCAGCCCATGTATAGGTCGTTCCATAGTAGCATCAGCGCAGCGCCATTCCCC